GTTGTCAGATGTAGTCGGCGAAGTGTTCTTGTTATTAAACGGCATTTATCTAGAGAAAGACTCGCGGTTGTTACAGGAAACTGCTTCATCTAATCTTTGTTCTAAGGTTTCCCTTAAGAAGGAATTGTTGTCCTTCAAACTTTATTTGTACTCCGTTTATGAAACGAGGGCGCTTGCGCGCTTTTAAAAAGGCGAAAGAAAAGGGGGCAGGGAAGTCAGCGCCTGCGCTTATCGTGCAGCTTTCAAGCATTAGTGATCACAATTTCAGGCTTTTCCAAAAACGCCTTTGTCATCAGTCTGTTGTCCCAATTGTTTGGTCACCTGACTTAACATTTCTGCAGTACCATACTTCAAAAAGGGTCTTTTACCGATAATTGGCATCATTAGCAAACGATTTAAAACAAGACGCATGTTTCCCTTTTTTGGTTACAACACTGCTACTAAACGAACTTTGCATGTTTTTTTCTTTGGCTACAACACTGCTACTAAACGAACCTTGCATGTTTTTTTTTTGGTACAACACTGCCATAAACGAACCATCGATGTCTTTTTTTTTTGTTACAAAACAGCTGCTAAACGAACCTTGCATGTTGTTTTGGTTACAACACTACCATAAACGAACCTTGCATGTTTTTTTTTTGGTTACAACACTGCTGCTAAACAAACCTTAATTGCATGTGTTTTTGGTTACAACACTGCTATTAAACGAACCTTGAATGTTTTTTTTAAAGTTACAACACTGCTACTAAACGAACCTTGCATGTTTTCTGGTTACAGCACTGCTACTAAACAAACCTTGCATGTTTTTTTTTTTACTGCAACACTGCCACTAAATGCACCTTACATTTTTTTGGTTTACAACACTGCTACTAAGCGAACCGTGAATGCCTTTTTTTGGTTGCAATACTGCTACTAAACGAGCCTTGCATGGTTTTTTTTTATGGTTGCAACACTGCTACTAAACGAGCCTTGCATGGTTTTTTTTTATGGTTAGAACACTGCTACTAAACGAACCTTGCAGGGTTTTTTCGGTAACAACATTGCTACCAAACGAACCTTTCTTTTTACTTACAACACTCACTGCTTCTAAACGAACGTTCCATCATCATAGCTTTTTTTATTGGTTTCAACACTGCTACGAAACTAACCTTGCCTAACCTTTTGTGTGTGTTACAACACTGTTACTAAGTGAGTCTCACCTGTTTGGGCTACAACACTGCTACTTGGAGTGGATGTCATTTGGGTGTGTGTAGTAGACACTTCTGTCATCATAGTGCTCGAAGATTCATCTAAAGTTAGGGATAGATTACATGTAAGAAATCTTAAAATTACAAGAACACCTTCGTTCGAAATACCTAGACTTAGCAGAATTTTGACTAGTGCATGGAACTTAAAACAGAAGTAGGTATTAGTAGGTATTAAGGTTTTGCTATTGTTTTGCATTCATTGTGTTTTTTGATTTGCATTTATTGTGTTTATCTCGACTGTAGATCCAGTGTTTGTTTACCACACTGCTACTAAACAAACCTTGCATGTTTTTTCCTATTACAACACAAGTACTAAATAAACTTTGCATGCTTTTTTGGTTACAATTTTGCTACTTAACAAGCCTTTCACGTTTTGGTAACAACACTGCTACTAAACGAATCTTGCAGGTTTTTCTCTTTGGTTACAACACGCAGTACGACTAAACGAACATTGCATAATCATAACGGTTTTTTTGGTTTCAACACTGCTACTAAACTAACCTTGCATTTTTTTGTGTTACCACACCGCTACTAAGTGAGTCTCACCTGGTGTTGAGGCTACAACACTGCTACTTGGAGGGCATATCATTTGGGTGGGTGTAGTGGACATTTCTGTCATCATAGTGCTTGAAGATTCATCTAAAGTTAGGGATAGATTATGTGTAAGAAATCTTAAAATTACAAGAACACCTTCATTCGAAATACCTAGACTTTGCAGAATTTTGACTAGTGCATGGAACTTAAAACAGAAGTAGGTATTAGTAGGTATTAGGTGTTTTGCTATTGTTTTGCATTCATTGTTTGTTTGTTTGTTTTTTCTATTTATTTATTTATTTTTTTGTATTCAGAGTGTTCATCCCGACTGTAGATCCAGTTTTTAACATCATGGAAAAGTATGGCTGTAAAAAAATTTTAAGTTCATTTGCATTGCACCGTAGTTTAAGATATTGGTGACAGCTTTTACTCTAGCAAATAATGGATTATTTTATTTAAGAAATAGGCTGGAATCAAACTACGAACACACCGATCGAAGAAATTAAGGTGTCTACTTAAGAAATAGTTTGGTTGTTATCATCTTCGTGACACAATAGTTTTCCATAGCAACAGTATGATCTCACTTAATTGCCGCTTTAGGGGCTTATAATTCAAAAACAACACGGTAAAATTTTTCTGTGTTATCAACTTTTAATAAGCATGATAAGA